ACCCTGTAGATGTCATTGCAAGGAGATTGTAGTTATATCGTTCTCAATATGGGCCCTATCCATCACGAGATTGTATGGGTCGTCGGGGCTGTTACAATAAAATCATCGGGTACCACAGCCGCCGTCCTCTATCGATAGCTAAATGCAAAAGTAAGACATGACTGCATACTACAGCAGCTTGCTGTAACTAGTCGACAGTTTCCTGATCTGCCTATTCACTGTTTTCAGATACACCAAAACCAGACAGGCTTATTCGTCTCGAACTCTTTTAGACACATATTTTAGGCCGGCTGGAACTAACAATTCATATCAATGATATTAAAAACTAAAACATTTATTTATTGTTAATCTTCATTAATATTATGTCCATTATCACTAATTTACTCTCAACATGTGAATGATGACAGTGATTTTCGACAATGACAGGAGCTGTGTCAATAAACATGAACAATTCTACTTCAGGCACACAAAAAGACCACGTGGTAAATGCCATACTTCCATGGTAACCACGTGGTTGTCATGGACTTTAGGTTATGAGTTTAACTAGAGAAGTTAGTGTGGTTTTGTATTTTGGTGGAAAGGTTTTTAAATGTTGATGTGACTCTGTAGTAATACACCTCGGAAGATACACTAAAAAATATATAGTAACTAAATTAGGCAGTGTATTTTTTGTGTCACAGGGGATGTGAACATACAAGAAACAAGCCAGCAAGTTAGAATGCAAACCACTGCGCTAATCCAGGTACCTCCAAGTATAAGTAAAAGTTACGTAAATATCAATTTCCAAGCCTTTAGGCGTATCGGGCATACGGGAAAAGCGCCCATATTTTTACAGACCATCAGCACTCGGTGGGTAATGTGGTCAGCATTACGCCGGCTGTCTTTACTTTCCCAGGAAAGCCCATCCTGGTACCCATTTTAGGCTGGTTCGACCTGCGACGCCCCATACCATGATAAAAATCCACGCAGCCAGCTGTGGGTTTCGATAACGGTACGTTGGATAACCAGTCGGACTCGCAACGCCTAAGCCACGGACGAAGCGTACCTACAAATATAGTAAACAATAAATATATAGTAGATCAGTTAACGCTTGTGAGATAGCTAGTTCACTTTTAATATGGCTCGTTTAATCTGGAACAAATACAGCTTTCAACACTGAAAACACTGTTCGAATTCCTGTATACATTCCGCCAGATTATTTCTTCTGTTACATCACAATTACTCGTCCCCAGTCATCGCTGATCACGTCCACAAATATGCCACAATAATTATTTACTAGACGGAATAGATCAATTAACGGCAGCTGAAAGAGCAGGCATGGGGAATAGATCAATTAACGGTATATGAACCAGCGTACACGGGGAATAGATTAATTAACGGTAAATGAACCAGCATGCATGGGGAATAGATCAATTACCGGTACATGAACCAGCATGCATGGGAAATAGATCAATTAACGGTATATAAACCTCCCTGCATTGGAAATATATCAATTAACGGTATATGAACTAGCCTGCATGGGGAATAGATCAATTAACGGCACGTGAACGAGCATGCATGGAAAATAGATCAATTAACGATAAATGAACCGGCATGCATGGGAAAAAGATCAATTTTCGGTATTTGAACTTGCATGCATGGGGAATAGATCAATTAACGGTACATGAACTAGTTTGCATGGGGAATAGATCAATTAACGGCACGTGAAGAGCATGCATGGACAATAAATCAATTAACGGTATATGAACCGGCATGCATGGGAAAGAGGTCAGTTATCGGTATTTGAACTAGCATGCATGGGGAATAGATCAATTACCAGCAGCTGAAAGAGCATGCATTTGGATCTGATCAATTAACAGCATGTCAACAGCATACATGTAGATTTCAAGCAAAATGATCCATGCAAAAAGGGGTGGGGGTGCGGGTGATTCGTATCACATTAGTATAAACTTACTCTTGCGTGTTTGCCTTTCACTTGTCGCTATAACTTACAGTGTGGAGATCTTGGGGGAACAAAATTGTTACAAGTAACGTCCTGGGCAGTAAAGGCGGTCAGTGGGATGATGACTATATGAACCATTTAGCGCCGATTATTCTAATTAAAGTTAACATAGCATCATGTGCCTCATGCTTCAATGGAAAAAAAAAGTATATTTGCTTATATTCATTTAACGTACTTATATTCTCCTCGAACCGACCAATCCTTGGCTTCAGCATAATTGTGACTACCTGACCGGAGGCTCCACCCACAGAATGAACCACGCCTATGAAAGGTGTTTGTATCTCAACATAATGTCAGTAACGTTGGAATGACAGTAGTGTTTAGTTTGATCAAAGCGTGTATGGACAGCGTGTATGGATCAGAAAACAACCAGTCATATTGATTGTCTAGAAATAACTGAAGGAAACAGCGTATCATCATGTCACGACTACTTTTTTATGTCTCTATTAGCAAATTAGTATCATTCCATACTTGGAAAACTATTAGTATTCATTATATGTTTTATACAATATTCATATCGCGTTTTTTGATGTCGTGCTATGACATTTTCTGATTAAACCTTATCATAGCACGTTCTGATAAATTAAACTTGCAAGTGCCGTCTCCAAAATACAGTTGCCTACAAAGGAACTTCATCAGTTCTTCACGACATAATACTGTTCTACACCTGTTATATTTTGATGAAGTTTTTGCCCTTATTTATGTATCTCTAGGATAAATCTTCTCCGTCTTCTCGTTCAGTGACAGTAAACTCCGACTGAAACTTCTGTTTGTTCATGCATCTCCAGACTTTAGGCCTGTTCCAGAATCTAACAGTTGCATACACACCTGTTTTACAGATCTGACTAATCTGTTAGCGAGCTGCTGGTTCCTTGTCTCTCAGGCAGATGCACTCCGATTTTGAAAGAAACCCCCAGTTAATCAAGTTCTACGACATGCTTGTTGGGGAGGCCATGGGTCTATTCTGGTTTTCCCCACAATGGGGCTCCGTAACCCACACAGGGATATGAGAGATATGATCTATTTCTTCTTCTTTTTTCGTTCACCTCAGGGCGAGCACCATATCGTTTTGCTGATTTAGACACATTTCCATGGCGTGTGTGCGTGACATCCTGATTGCTGTGGAGCGCCTCCTGGCTGCTTGCCTCCGACGTCTGCACCTTGTTTTGCAAGGGTAGACTGTGGTCATACTCGAGGAAAGTAGGCTCATCCCTTCGTCTTTCGCCTTTTCCTCGTTTGGTATCCCATCCAGTTTCCCGCTGGGGGTTGAAACCTCAACCTTCAACTGGATTGCTGGGAAGAACAGGGTCCGCCACGTGATGGTGAGGTAGGCTTGAGCAAGAGAGGCTAACAGACATTAAGAGTCTTGTATTGCGCATCATTGCATCCATTTGGACCCCATGATCTATTTGATTTGATCCATTTGTCTGAATACTTGAGTTGAGTTTTCATCTAAGAACTCTCATCACAGCACTTTGGTCGTTTCCATAGTTGCCCGCCTTCATCTCCAGCAGCCAGCGAAGCGTTCCGATTTTTATAGTGGCAGTAGAAGTTTAATTCTATGTTCGTCTTGCCTTTTATGTAAGTGTGAAGTCTTGACCAGATCTCCTGGTCACTGCTAGCTGTAACATTCTCTCCAGACGATAATGATCTCTCCGTGCCTGGGAGTAAATTTGTTTAAATAAATTGTAACTCTAAGTTGAAACTGATCAGATCTTTTTAGATTTAAAATTGGACATTCCGTTACTTGTCGACACTCTCGTTATCCAAAGTGACCTTTTTAAATAATTAGATGGAACAGGCCTTAAACACTTTTTCGTTCATCTAAAAGAAGAGTTTCAAGAAGTGGTTTTATTCTAGGTAGAAATCTGGAGTGAAGCTGTTGGCTCTGAGGTACGGGGGCGTTTTTCCATCTGGGACAAAAATACAAATCATAAAATGCTCCGTTCTTGGCTTCTGAACTAGCAATGCAGCATTAAACTCTCATCTCATGATCCTGAAATCTCGTAAGTTTTGCAGTAAAGACATGATTTACTAGGAAAATACAGCAATGGTTTCCCCTTAACTTCCACCATTTTGTTTACGGAGTCCAGAAGCCTTTGTATAAAGAGACATACCCTGTAAGGCCGCGATTGGGGGTGGGGGGGGGGTGAGTTAGGGGGAGGGGGTATAATGGTGCCTCTCACGCACCCGTATACATGCCACCAAGTTTGTAGGTGTTTTATAGATCAGGCTATAATAGAAGAAGAGCACTCGAGATGTTTTGAAAGAGCGAATGCTGGAAGACAACTTATCACAAACATCAGAAGAGACAGTCATTATTTTTTTGGTAAGTTTATGAGAAGAGGGAAAATACAACATGTTGTGACCACTGGAAAGATCCGAGGAAAGAGAGGCAGGGTAAGACAGCTTGAGAGGATTCTTGACAGCTCTTTGTCATGGCATAGAGGGTTGTCAACACAGGAACTTCTTCTTCTTCTTTCTTCTTCGCGTTCACCAGCTGTACACTCTGGCGTAAAGTTCTGGTTGTTCGTCCACTTCTGGACTGCAGTCCTGCTCCAGAACCTGAGTGTTGCGTGTGCATCAGTTTTACAGATCTGATTCAATTGAATGTAGACTGCTGGTTCCTTGCCTCTCAGGCAGATGCACTCCGACTTCAAAGGAAGCTCCCCAGTTAGTCGACTCTTACGACATGCTTTTGGGGAGGCAGTGGGTCTATTCTTGTTTTCCCCACAATAGGGCCCCGGAACCCACACAGGAACTGATACACGCAGTTGCGGATCGGAGAGTGTGGAGAGGCACGATCGCCCACGCTAGTCAGCAAGGCACTTGATGACAACAGTTAGAACAGTTTAGTTGATGTCATTCTGAGGCATCATTTGAAAAACTAAGAGTTGTCCAGTGTTGATTTGGAGACTGCTAGCGTATTTTTTACTAATAATAGACGCCACAAGGTAAAATGTACACTTCCTAAATAATGGTGCTAATATTTTCCTAGGTGGGGCTGGTTGGCGTTCAACTGTGGAAGCACTTTTGGCATTTCTAGTGGCAAATGGAAATTAGCTGCCAAGTAAGTTCTCGTTGTGTAGGAATGATATAAGTGGTTGACATCGTATGCTTGTTCTTGTTGTTGTCTTTGAGGGTGCCTATCATGCATTGTTGAGTCCGTAATGGATTTTACTGATGTAAAAGGAACTCCAACGAAGTCTGTAGCTGAACTCATACTGTATCGGTTACATCCATGGAGATGGGTTATTTAGTTAGTTGACAGATTATCATCAAAGCACATCGAACCATTCAGTCCATAAGTGTTCAGATCCCCAAATTAGTAAATCCCGCAGAGTGTAGTGTCTCACGTCACCAGTTCTGTTGTGGTTTATTCTTCTTCTTTGGCTTCCCGCATAGTGTTCTTCTCTGGCCACACCCCTTGTAACATGTTGTTCTTTCAGTCTGGTCATTGTTACAGATTCACAGTCATCACTTCGTTCTCTCAGAAGTCTTACTTCTCATAGTGCATTCAGAATATCGGCAACGGCCATGACTGGTCCACCCTTCACAGTTGCTTTACCTGCAAGCCCATCAGCTTGTTCATTTCCTTGCACGCTTGTATGCCCTGGCACAGATATGAAACTAATATGAGTCATCCCGGACCGCTTGAGAGACTCCACCCATTGTCTTCGGATCTAGCCTTTCTCTATCTTCCTGAGCATACTCATTGAGTCTGCGAGAAAGCACGCGGAAGAAAAAGTTTGTGTCTCCAGCCATGTTAATGCTTTGGTCACTGCCATGATAGAAAGAGCCACAGAAGATCGTTTAATGTCCCTGAACTAGTCAATAAGGTAAGTGGAGAGAGGGGAGAAATAGACTATATATTAAGTCTTGGTAAAGAAACATACAAGACTAGCCACTTATACTCGAAATATCTCATGAAAAAAAGGTATATTTATGGTACTCATCCATTCCCCTAAAAGCACAGATAACAAGCCCCGAAATCATGTATTATTGAAATGAATAAAGATTTTAAAAAGCAACACACGTATACACATGCACATACACACACGCCCTGAGAAGGTACTTTGAGAAACAAGTTAAACATTATATAGAGGTCAAGGGGTTAGCTGTATGCAATAGCAAAGGATAGGAAGACTTGATGTGAGCTGGCTGAGGTACTAATCTCAACTTGCGGAATAACGTACAGAATAAAAAGGAAGAATAATCATCATTAGACCGATACTGATTTGACAAACGTCACACTTTTAAAGAGAACAACTGAGAAACCCAGTCAGTAAATAAATTAGTTGCGTGTACTTTACAGGATGTTGCAGAGCCAAAGCGAGCATTTTTTGTTGTGGCTGTTGTGGCTTTTGTATGCAAATTTGCATTGAATAGTTTGCCATTGCTAACTGAACGGTTGACTCTGGATTCCACTGTCTAAACCAACAAAGACGGTTTTCAGCCAAATCGCCTGTAGCTGGGATTGAACCCGGCACCCCGGCATTATGAAGCGCGTTAGCTTTGCCTAAGATACAGACACCAACAAGGAATTCATATTTTACTATTTGCTTTGGTGAGCCGGTAAAGAAGTTATTACATTTTGAACTCTTGTTAAAATGCCTACTTTGTTTTGCCACTGCTTGTGAGTTTTAAATATGAAATTATGGTTTATTCTCTTAGAACTCCGCTATGCAGATGACACAGTCCTCCTTTCGAACAGAGTAAAGGGAATAGAAAATTTAATATTGTCCGTCCAAAAGCACAGTGAAGATCAAAATCTGTTCTTGAATTTAAAGAAAACGAAAAAAATGTCCAGAGATAAAACTGGCTGTCACCCAAAAATAAACAATAAATGATAAAGAAATTTAAAATGTCACAAACTTTGAATATCTAGGCTCTATAATAAACAACAATGGTGACTGTTCGACAGAAATTGAAAGGAGGATGGCCATAGCAATGCAGAGATTGAACAGCCTTGAAAGTCTATGGTTAAGCACCAGCAAGGAGATAAAAATTAGAATTTTGAGAGCATGCATCTTCCCTGTGGCTACATACGGATGTGAGTCGTGGACTATCTCTCAGTGCTTAAGAAAGAGAATAGGGGCTTTTGAGCTGAAATGCTATAGAAAGATTCTCAAAATATCTTGGACAAAGAAGATGAGAAATATTGACATCTTAAAAGATCTGAACATCAAGGAAGATTGGCTAATAAACAGCATCCTTTCTCGAAAGCTAAAATATTTTGGTCATATCAAGCGCCACGACGGATTGGAAAAAATTATAGCAGAAGGCATGGTACCAGGAAGAAGGGGCAGAGGCCGACCGACACGAAGATGGGCACAGGATATAAGTGACTCCTTGAGTGTAAAAGTTCATGAGGCGGGACAACTGGCAAGAGACCGAGTTTCTTACAGACAGACTGTGATGAGAGCGACGTTCTGCAAAGGACCTGCTACATGATGATGATGATGATGTCTCTTAGAAGTGCATACTGACAATTGTAAATGTTTACAACTTACACAAATATTAATATGATCAACAATATCGTTTTATTTAAAATTTTGGTAGTAGGAGACACCTAATCATAAACTTTTGTGATTTTTACTATTTAATGAGGTTCACAATCGGTCCCTTGTTTCTTCGTCAGAACTGCGGTGACAACACTTCTTGCCTCCATGTCTGGTGGCATCGTTGGCACTTTCCTGAGGTGAGCCACACTGTAGCCAATATTTTGTATGTGTATACGTAATATATCACATTATTATAACACATTTAAAAAGAAATGGACTATTGTGGAAAATACATTGTAGTTTATAGACATCGTATGGTATTTTGTAATTTCAAAATCATTTGATATTTATGGGATAAAGTAAGGACTTTTGGGAAGGGGTGGGGGGCTGCGTAGTCTCGAGGCATGGTGCCTGCCTCAAGTGCTAAAGGTTCCGGGTTCAATCCCCTGTAAGGGTTGGGATTTGTTTTCCGTGGACTTTGACTTCTTGTAATTCTCCCTGGTCTCTGGGTAGTGAGATCGGACGCCCGTGTGCATTGTTGAGCACATAAAAAAATCCATTGGCAGTTGGAAATCGAAAAAAGTAGCCTTATGGCGCTGCCCGGGCAAAAGTTGGAGTTAAAAATCTACCCAAAGTATTTCAGGATCCTTGCCGGTGCTACAGGGCCTGTGCACTGCGCTGAGATTCTTCGGTCTCAGTGCTACAGGGCCTGTGCACTGTGCTGAGATTCTTCGGTCTCAGACAGGAGTCAGAAGAAGAACTGAGCACTTGTGGGTTACTAGCCGCATGCCATGATGTTGATCCGTTGTTCAAACTTCAAACTGCAAAGGACTTTTTAAATTGTATTATATTAAGAAAGTAAGTTTTCAGATACCTTGTAATGTTTAAATAGCGGTTACCTGCTTTCTTTAGCATATTACACAAGAATACTATTGTGCATTGTGTTTTTGGCAGCTACGTGACTCAGAAAGGGAAGTTTGA